CCGCCTCGAGTCAGTCTAGCCTCGTACAAGTCCTTCGCAGTGTTGTCCTTAGTAACGCCTAACAGTCAAGCCACGCGTTGGCTCAGTCTAGTCCCGGTCTCAAGCTGACTACACGACTGTACCGAGTTCTCCAATAAATCTCTTGGTTCTCAGCATTACATCGTTTACTTCTTTCAGTCCAGAACCTTACAGTATAACCACGCTTTATTGGTTTTTCAAGGCAGAAATGTGAGACAGCGATTCTCGATCGCGTAAACAGTGAGAGATACAGAGCCGAATGGACGACACTTAAGCCGAGAGACGTCTACCGAATAGTTCACTGGAGAAAGTACGTCACATTATGCTGCCTGTACGTTGCGTACGAAATGCGAGGGGGACTCAACTCAGGCAATATAGTGTACACCCACCCCAGCAATCTACGATAATCTTCGGCAATCTCTAATTAATCGGCTGCAAAAGCCATTTTTTTGCCAACATTCGGGGAGACATTGCGTTTTGCCTAGTTTCAGGCGGTTTTGCCCTTAAAGCTAAATATTCGTGAAGCAATCTTGGCAATCTGGTGTACAGGAGAGTTGAGGCCCCCTCGACAAAATGTCTAGAGGAATTATTTACATTAATCGTATACACCATTACTTGATTGAGGATGAGCTGCTGATGGTCTAGATGGACCCAGGACAAGTAGCAAGTGCAGCAAAGCGAACGTTGCGGTTCGCATTGTGCCTGTCGTAAGAGAAAATCAAATACAATTAACGCAACTTCAATGCAGCGAAGCATTGATACAAAATGGCCACACTCGAAATCCTGGAGCGACGATCCTCGCTCTCTAGAGAGCGAGAACAGTGCACCAAATTCGATCGCTCTCCAGAGAGCGGGATTTTAGGATATCGCTCTAATCTGGTATAAATAATTTAACGTCGCTCGATTAGGGTAGGAAATTTAAAACCTCGCTTAGTTGAAGTATTAAGACTGAAACCTCGCTGCCTATTAGTATTAAACTTCAAAAACCCGTAAATTCAATGTTAATTGTTTGGAAATCTTAAATACTCAATTATTTGGGGTCCCTTAAAGTCAGTTTTGTGACATATTTGTTGAATTGTACAGTAGAGACCATGAACTAAAATAATACGGGGCCCAACCTTATAGGCACACTGCAAATCCATCAACGTTCGGCCCAACAACACTTTGAGGAGGGTTGGGTACTTCGATTCAACCCAGAGTATTAAAAATCCTCAGTGTAACTTTGTTCTTGGCCTCTGAAGGCAGTTTAGGAGCACTGACCCCATCCCTTGATTTGGTTGGCCCACTGGGGTTATAGCAGGTTATTATAGTCGGTGTAGAAAGCGTAAACACAAAAGTAGACTCAGATAAATGCTTACAATGCACTAATTCAGGTTATGAATGCGTGTTCACACTTTGCGTAAGCGCAGTTGACAGCAAGTGTCGACGGGAGTCGGTTGTCACAGCCGGGATGACTTCCAAGTAAAAATAACTCTGATTTTCCTGCTAGAAATTGGATTAATTTCTGGTCTACATGTTTGCATGACCATTAATTTTTACTAACCGCACTCAAAACTCTGAATATGCTTGCCTTTTATTTGCCCCCCCCCCCTCCTCCCCGAGCTCTCTTACTCCTCCCCCTCGACCGTCTTCTCGCCTGCGGCACCGTTTCGCAATCCAATATTCAAACACTTCGGTCCGGCTCGCTCATGACGCGACGCTCTATCATCTTCTGAACTGGCTCTTGTTTTAAATACCGGAAAAAGAGAAGGTCATTACCCCTACAGGTGAAAATTCAGAATTTATTGCAAGTATGTGTAATTGTTATCATTGCTGAGCGAAGTGAAGCTCTCCGGAACAGTAAACCAGAGCTCTCCGGTGGACCTGGTGAGTTGTTGGTCGTGAGTGTCTGTCCGTGTGTGAGAATAAACTTCTCCTCTTAAGCTGTAGCCGACTGCGCTACAAGTTAATATGATTTGGAATTTACGAATTACGAGCTTTCTTAATCACGAATAAACGTGATGAGCGTGATGGCGTTTGGGATATTTCATGATAATTTGTAATTTGAATTAAAAGTTCAACAGTTGGCAGCAGTTCGCCGCCGCGGCGCAGGGTGGCCAGTCGCCGCTAGGTGGCGCTGGCGCAGCAGCACGGTGCGAGTAAAGCTCACCTCGAGCCTTTGATACCTTCTCAACAGTGATTCAAATATCACATGGTCCAACCAAGTGTGGAATTTTTAGTTTTACAGTTGCGGAACTCAACTCTTAACTTCCTACAAAGCAACTGGTGTTGTTGGCTGAGCGATTAGCAAGGCCTATTACTCCGTCTGGTCGAAAAAAAAACGTTTTCTGTCTGTCTATCTGTCTGTCCGCACGAAAACTCGAGAACAAATCGAGCCAGCAACCTGGGGTTTTCAGGGTCGTTTTGTACCCTAAAAAGACAGGTCGAGTTCAAAGATGAGCATCCTAGCTCAAAAATTTGATTTAAAAAAAAATAAAAAACAACGGGTCCCAAAAATGGCGTGTTTTGAAAATATTTTTGTCCGTTTTGCTCTAGCTCAAACCGTTGAGGCGCAAGAGCGTATTTTTAACGAAAATAAGCGAAAAAATGTACAACTGTGCCGCGATGCCACCGTCGCCGACCACGCCTTGTCGTTTGCTGACTACCTATGGTATGTACTTCCTGTCGGACATGGTCCGACCCCCGACCCGGTCTCCTGACCCCCTTTAGGAGGCAGGGCGTAAGTACTCAGCCTAGAGCGAGATACCCGGTTTTCGAGTACTTACGCCCTAGCTCCTGAAGAGGGTCAGGAGACCGGGTCGGACCATGTCCGACAGGAAGTACATACCATAGGTAGTCACCAAACGACAAGGCGTGGTCGGCGACGGTGGCATCGCGGCACAGCAGGACCGAGAACATGTCAGTCGAGATACCCGCTAAATCACCCAAAAAACTTTGAGCGCGGGTTGCGCCTGGTTCCCCTCATCGCACAGACCCCGAGTTTGCTCCATGAGTATCGGCATGCCATAAACATTCAAAAGAACCTCGCTTCAGAAAATTTGGCAACTTGACCCCTCAAAATGAAACAACCTAAGCTACGTACAATTTGGCTATGCCTCGGTTAGCACCCTCGTTATAATTTTACTGGTGAAAAGTGAAAACGGCGTATGTCCAAAAACCTGATTTTTTTGGAAAGCATAAAAACAGTTTTTATCTTTGATTAAGACAATATTTCAAAGCAAATACCTTAGAGTAGCTTAGTTTGACAATAAGAAACACTAGCTTTTAATTATTTTTTTTCATGAAAGTTGTATACTGCCTGAGTTATTTGACATATCCCATGTCAATATGAGATAAATTCGGTTGTTATTTTTTCAGGTAGGCATAAGTCCAAAACCAGGATTTTCCAAAGAGGCATATGTCCGGATGTGACTAGTCAGAATGGCATTTGTCCATAGATCCTTAGATCCAGAGGACATACGCCATTCTGGCACAGCTCGGAGAGCCTGACAAAACGCAGTTTGCTTGAGTTGCAGTTCGTAGCGACTCGACTCAAAATACCTTTAAACTTTTCTCCCTCGACAATTATAACTTCTTACCCTTTGATTCATTGTCGTCAGATCTCTTTAAGGCGTTTGGATGATCACGTGTCACTGAAGAGAATTAATTAAAATTTCTGTGATAAATTGTATCGTAGAATGTTATGTCAATGTTTTCACCATTTTATTGGATGTCATTAAACATGATATGACCCCAGTCAAAGCTAGTCAATTTAAGAAAATATTACATCTTGTTCTGCTGTCTATTGGCTTATCCTGCCTTGATTTGCGATGGTAGTTCTAATATTGTTTAGTCGTTTGCAAGTCCATGACTATGGTGAAAATAAGTTGTGTGTTCGACAAACGTTTTGACATGTTCTGTGGAAAGACTTCCAAGCATTCAACGAGTGAACAACATTTTATTTTGTTGGAATACAAATTTTTAAAAATTCGAGTTTTTAAAGGTTACAAAATTTAAAAAGTACTACCTGGTTTGAATTCCTCCTTCAAAATTAGAAAGGAAATGTCTTATGATCGAAGCCTGTCAGAGTCAAAACGGCAATGAACAGTTTTATGTACAGACCTGTGTGTAGCAACTCTCGGAAGGAAAACTATGATTCAACTCGACAACTAAATGTCAGCACAATGTCCGGAATAACGAAGAGTTTCGGGGTTTTTATATTCGGCAGGAGGAGGAGTAGCTATGACACCAGCAGGAACGTGAGTTTTACGCTACACACTGAGAGCGGTCGTGCAAGACTAACGTCACGGAGGAGTATACCCGCGCAAACTCGATGACCTTCGTTTGCTACGACTGCAGGAAATAACTGGTCTTTGTGACGTTCAAAGTACACTGTCTGAAAACAGCCCAGTAAGTTCACTGAGTGAGTCCGTTACAGAAATCCGGCAATCGGTCACTATGGATACCGAAGGGAACTGAGGTAGGAATAATCCAATGTTGGGTAATGTGCCCAGTGATGGACACCGTACTTTTGATGGCCACTTTTCTCGATTTGCATCCAAACTCGTCGCTTTACGATCTTGTCACGGAACTAATGTTCTAGTAAGACTCCTATACCATGGTATACTAAGCGATTTTACCTCGCTCAGGTGCACACATTTCAAGAACAAGCATGCCGGCCCGGGAAGAAAGTGGATGACCGGATTTCTGAAGAGGCACCCCACTACTTAATCGCAGAGTTCCAAAACTAATCAAAGCAACACGTGCTAAAGTTAATCCAGAAGTAGAAAATAAGTACTTTGATAATTTAGAGAAGTGTTTGGAGGGAGTGCACCCGGCAAATATTCTGAACTACGATGAAAGAGTATCATCGAATCGTTCGCAACAAGGCACCTGCCAGCCCTGTCCTTAAAACGGCGCACAAGTGATGACGCCAGTGACGGCATTATTAGGGTTGGCACGGAGTTGTCAATTGCCGACAAAGTTGTACGTATACCTGTACATGTGTATGTTCTTGTTTATTTTAATTTTCTGCTGTTTTGTAACACTTTGTCTTCATTTCATTTTAGGTGGACCACTATGTCGGAGCGACGGCTAGAGTTATTCCAGAAGCCAACGAAATATTAGATGCAGAAATGAATGATGTTGGTGCAGGTGGAGGTGGTGATGATGACCATGATGATGATGATGAAGATGATGAAGACGAGCAACCAGTGAAGAAGAAAATGCGCGCAGTATCCGAGTCCTCGGCGATCGACATGGATGATGAAGACGAGGATAGTGAGAACGAACTCTTTGGTGATGTTGATGAATCTACCAAGAAGCAGGCGGAGAAGGATCTGAACAGTTTTGTACAAAAGTATCAACATCACTTTTTAACCATGTACCAGCCAAAGATCCCATTACCTGGTCTGGAGCTGCCTGCAGCCTCATCCCTCAAGGGGCAGTTCCAGGTCATCTTCCGCGATGTCAAGACACAAGCTGAGGTAAGATCATGTACATGTTAAAAGGGTAGGGAATGACTTGTGGTTTCAGTTCTAGGTACCACACGTGCTGGTCTGACCATGCACATGTGCGGGTAGTCTCTTAGCGATTCGCTTCGGGTCTAGGTACCACATGTGCGGGGAAGAACGTTCAGTCGTGTACATATGTGGAGGTTAATTTATTGACTGCTTTTTGTTGCAGGTCGTCATTACCCAGCAATCCTATCCACATAAGGAGATTGTTTCGCGGCTGATGCCTGTGGCATCGAAGGCAGCTATGCGGACCTTTATGAACATGTGCATGTCAACCAACTTTGAGGAAGGTCTTTACTGCGACACATATGCCGACTTCCGAAGAGTGCTCGACCCTAACAACCTACTGGAGCTCGAGTACAATGAGAAAAAAGGACTCCGTGGGAAAAGCGTATGTATTCTCACTTTCCCTCTTCTTCCTCCTTTTAAATGCCCTATTTAAGTCTTCTACGTTTTTCCAGCTGACAAAGTGGTCACTCCTACAGTGGTCGTTCGTGTGGGCCCAGAGGCGAGGCTTCACGACTTTGACTGATGGGGCCGTGAAGTTTTATTTCCGGTTTACCCTGATGAACAGTTGCAAAAAATTCTTGGCTGCGGCCTTCTTCGTATTCCTTCCGGTGTATGGGCTTCGCCCGTACATCCACCTCACCGGCGACGAGAGAGACCTACACAACAAAGAAGTGGCTGAGCGGAAAAAGAAGGTACATGTGCGGGTAGTCTCTTAGCGATTCGTGGAGGTTCTAGCTGCCACATGTGCTGGTCTGACCATGCACATTAGCCCGTTCCACTAAAAATTTTGCATCGAGGTGCGGCCTTTAAATGGTAGTTTAGAACAAATGGTGACCGATGAACCCGGTCCGAGCGCGCTCCGACAACGTTTAGTGCTGTTGCACAGCGATTTTAGGTTTTACAGCCGAACGGCCCGAATGCGAACCGCCATCTTTGTCGACCCGCTGCGCGCGCACCCTGGTGTCAGTGGGGCAAACTCGGGGTCGAAAGGGTACCCTATGACCTCTACTTCATGTCCGCACAGGCCAATCCGACCTCGCGGTCACTGGGGCCACTGCAGGGGCCTAAGTACCGCGCACCACGCACCTCGCGTTTCACAAGCCGAGACTCGAAAAGTGACGATTTTTTTTTTCGCGGATCCATAGGCCCCAATGCCTTTTATCGAACACTGTTTCGCCTGCCAACTACGACCGACGCGAACACCGCGAAATCAGGGGAAACTTGGATCGGGCGTCCGGAGACCCGTTCAAGCGAGCGCGCGACGCGCGCAGTGGCCGAGTGATGGGGGGAGCGTGGCCGGCGGGGAAGGCGGCGTCGGCCGGCCCGGCTCGCCACGGAGCGGCCCCGGTCCAGTGCAGCGCGCGCAACCTTCGAACTCTAGATGCGTCTGCTGCAGCAGACGACAGGTGACACTAACGACACCTGCCGATTGACACTAGAGGCAGGGCAGGGCACGCCCACTCACAGCCGACAGCTAGTTCCGCTAGTTCACAGCACACACTGCGGTCTGTGGTGCGGCCGGCAGAGCTCGGTCGCTCGAGTTGGGCGGCAGACGAGACGGTACTGTTTTGATTTTCGGATATCACTGGTAGGTGTGTCAGGTGTCATTGTTATTGCGTTACCTGGGAAGCATTGCTGACGAGATCACATTTTTAGATATGCCGTTTTTGGAGGATGTTTTCGGCAAAACCGAGGTGGACTTTCCGCCGGAGGTGCTGCCAACAACTTTGGACATGGTGCGTGTGTTTTTCGATAAACTGAACGACAAAACACAAAAACTGAAGGAGCAGGAAGCTGCGCGGCTCGTCGCAGTACAGCTCGTGTGTCGGTGGCATGAAAAGGAAAGGAAGCCAATTTGGTGAAATCATGTCGCGGCGAAAATTCGAGCGTTGTATGCGACGTACCGCAAGCTCTACGCCAGTTCGTACCGCCGAGGAGTGACCTTCGAGAAGAACTTGGCGCTCTTCAGGGGGGAACTTGCGGCCACTATGGAGATAGCAAGCCCCAATGACACCCCGCCTACTCGTTCAGAGAAGCGCAAGGCTGTCAACGATGCTCGCGGGTCAAAGGCGCGGCGGAGGACAGGCCTGCAGATCCAGGCGCGGGCCAGCCGAACGGAAGCGGAAGGTGAGCATCGACTGCGAAAGCTCAGACACAGCTGTCAAAAGAAATTTGCGTTTTATAGTGTTTGTGTCGATTAGTCACGCAGTAGAAGCGAGGTATCTATGTGGCAATAACGGGCAGCGGGGGTGCGTTGTTCGCCCCCCCCCCCTCCTCTCCTCGTTTTTTAGCCCGCCCTTCTGCTTTTAAAAAAGCATC